AATGCCCGCCCTACTGAGAGAATCCATGTTCCTGCAGCCCAGCAGGTCCTTGAGCAGGGCCCCCGGCCAATGCCCGCCCTACTGAGAGAATCCACGGTCCTGCAGCCCAGCAGGTCCTTGAACAGGACCCCCTTGCCAATGCCCGCCCTACTGAGAGAATCCACGGTCCTGCAGCCCAGCAGGTCCTTGAACAGGACCCCCCTTGCCAATGCCCGCTCTACTGAGAGAATCCACGGTCCCGCAGCCCAGCAGGTCCTTGACCAGGACCCCGGCCAATGTCCGCCCTGCTGAGAGAATCCACGGTCCTGCTGCCCAGCCAAAGTGACGGCCTAGGTCTTCCTTGAGACAAACCAGAGGACTTCTGTGTGGCCTGTTGAGTGGGTTTGCACTTCACACGTTTAGGCCCACATAACATAAAAAGCAAGAATTTTGTATTCTTTCTCAAGTATTTGAACGTTACAGAGCAAGAACACTTGAGACCCTCCCTGCCAGCAATGAAGGCCAGACCAAGGGTTCCAACACCCCCACCCAGACCCTACATGCTAGGGCCCGCTACCCTGCACACCCACCCCCCAGCCTCACCCCTCACCAGGGCCAGCTTGCTGTCCGTGCTCCTCTGGTGCTCACAGGTGAGGTCACAGGCAACACACAAGGCGCTGCCCAAGCCTCTGGTCAGCGGCAGGTTGGGGTCAGCTCCGTGGGACAGAAGCTCCTTCACAATCTGGACACAGAGACGCCGGTCAGCACCCAGCTCCTCTCTCCTCGCGTGTGCAGCAGTGCCCGGAGAATGGCTTCTGCTCTCCTGAGCGGCATCCCACCCGCAGGTACCACTGCGGCCTGGCTCGGGACGAGGTTGGGGCAGGGAGAGGGCGTATGGTGGCTCCCCAGGGAGGGCTGCACCACCCACACCAGCAGCCCAGGTCTGCTCCTTTCTCTGCACGCTGTCTAGTTGCTCCAAAGTGCTCCTGCCTCAGGTCTTGTCTTCCAGCCCAGGGGCCAGCACAGGGCCTGGTGTGTGTCCCATCAGCTCCTCCTCCCTGGGACCACTCTGCCTTTGCCCCCTAGGCACCTGAGTCACCGTGATCACCTGACCAGATGCAGAATGGGGCACATCTCACTTGCTCCCTGCCGGATCCCCAGCCACCAGGAAGCCAGGCGTGACAGCAGCCTGGCTGGGCAGGAGACACACTGGTGTGTGGCTCTCTCAGGAGCGTCCGACCCCCAGAAGGCAGCTCTCTACCCTGCCTCGCCCCACCAACACAACCAGGCACAGAGCAGGTGCCCCCCATAACTTGCTCAGTGAACGACTCAATGTACACGTGAAGGGAGGAGAAAGAGAAGGACCACAGAAGCCCCCATGACCCTCACCAACAACGCCTTCCTCTTCTTCAGGCCTCTGCTGATATGTCACCTCACTACAGACCACAGAAGCCCCCCTGGTCACCTGCTGTAATAGCCCACTCTCCATCATTCTCTACTCCTTACCCAGCTGTTACTGTTTTCATAGAACTTACCACCACCCGAAATTCTGTGGCACACTGGATTATAGTCTATCTCCCACACTAGAATCTAGGATCCTTGAGAGCAGGGACCTTATCTTATTCGACACCCAATGCCTAGAATGGTGCGTGCCTGGCACACAGTGGATGCTCAAAAAACAACTGTTAAATGAAAGGGTGAATGGGTGTATGTATTATAGATCGACGGAAAAAAGAAGTAAAGTAGAAAGGATGACGGATGGATGGATGAATAGAAGGATAGAGGATGGATGGATGGACAGACGGATGGCTGATGAAAGGATGGATGGACAGATGGACTGATGGAAGGACAGACGGAAGGATGGGTGGAAGGAAGGAGGGAAAGAAGGACGGATGGATGGATGATGAAAGGATGGATGGACATGGACAGACAAAAGGACAGATGGAAGGAGAGAAGGACAGAAGGAAGGAAGGATGGAGTATGGATGGATTGGACGGATGGATGGATGGGTGGAAGGATGGAATGATGGATGGATGTATGGCTGGCTGGCTGGCTGGCTGGTTGGAAGCGTGGAAAGATGGGTTGGATGGATGTGCAATTGTATGGATAGATGGATGAAAGGATGGATTAGATGGATGTATGGCTGGATGTATGGATGGGTGGGTGGATGTGGGTGAGTGGATGGCTATGTGGTTGGATAAGTGGATGGATGTGTGGTTAGTTGGTTGGCTGGCTGGCTGGATGGATTAATGGAAGGATGGATTAGATGGATGTGTATCTGGATGGATGGGGGAAAGATGGAAGAATGGATTGATGGGTGGGTGTGGGTAGGTAGGTGAATGGATGGATGAATGGGTAAGTGGGTGGATAGATGGATAGATTTGTGGGCAAGTGAATGAATGAACAGGTAGATGGATGGATGGTGAACACATACATCCTTGGCAACAATAGGAGATGGGAATTGGCCAAGGTTCCTTTCCTTTTCCTTACTGAGGGGTTAATGCCTGGGACAAGCAGGGGTTGTGACCCACCCGCCCTGAGGGAGCATCCTCCCAGCTGAACCCTCATCTTCCCTGCTCACCTTCCTTTCTATACCCTTCTCTCTCTGAGGAGTTCCATGCACTGGGGAGGGCATCCACCATGCCCCTTACACCATGCTGTCTTCATGCTACCGCCAACAGCAGCGAACCCAAAAGACTGACTAGGGAGGGGGTCACGTTGAGGCACAAACACTGCAGGTACACCATCAGCGGGTGTAGAACATGCTCACCAGGTCATTCCCACTGGCGATGGACAGCGAGAGTGGGGAGTGGCCACTCCACAGCATGTTGGGGTTTGCTTTGTGGGAGAGGAGGAGCCGGACTATGTCCCTGGCACACTGGGTGGGGAGAAAGGTAGGGACCACAGGTTAAAGAGATGCCCTGACTCCCAGGAGCACCTGACACTGACCATTAACTCAAATGCCATAAAATCACGTTTGTCACTTAATTGCTCTTTCCTCCACACCACCATCTTGCCCGGCACACAAAGACTGTTCTAAATTTTGGATGGTTGCGTGGATAGGTGGATGGATGTCTGGGTGGATCATCAAACTGGGAAGATGTTTTCTCTTTTTTTTTAAGATTTTATTTATTTATTTGAGAGAGAGAGAGCACATGAGAGGGGGGAGGGTCAGAGGGAGAAGCAGGCTCCCTGCCGAGCAGGGAGCCCGATG